TTTGCTAAAAAAAGTTTGCTTTCAACTGCAGAAATAATTAAGGAAATTTTCTTTTTCACTGATGAAAATATATCTATATTTACGCTTTGCCAAGCAATGGAGATAATTACTAAACTATCTGTTATTCAACTTTTTATATAAACGAGAAGGGGGGGGGGGGGGGAGGAAGAAAAAGCGCGCTTTTTAAAAAATATTGACATGTTTTCATTAAATTTCTTTAATAATTCGTCAGTTTCGTTTCTAACATAAAGAAATTTATATATTTGCATTTTGAAAAAAAATCACCTTTTATTTCTTAGATTTGATTTTGTTTGCGAAGACTAATTCTAGCTCCCCAGGAAATATGCTTATTATTGAATTTATATAGCTTTCTCTGTAAAAGCCGGTGATTTTTAAATGTTTTTTTTTTTTACTTAAAGTTGAAACCCGGCAGGGTTGATGAAAGTTATATTGGAAATTGTTCAAGAAGTTTACCGATTTCAGTTCTTAAAATCATAATATAGAACAAATGTCTATACATGTAGTATAGATGTTTTTATTTCGAGGGCTTTTCTGGTTAAACAATGTTATTTCTTGAAAGGAAAAGAGAATGATTTCAGACCATATAGTTAGGCTTTTATTAGTGTCATTTTCGATTCCAACTTGGCAAATTTGAATCGGTTTCACGCGTTTGTAAATTTATTCGACAGTTTTCTTTCATCTAGCTTTATTGTGTTTAAAAGCTGGCCACACTTAGTAGAGAAATTAGACAATACATGTATACGATGTGAAGATTAAACAGCTCTTATTTGATCCCTTACAACAGCAGGAACAATCTTTGAGTTTTTGTTGGTGATTGGCTGAGCCGATCAAGGTGAAACGTCTGTGTAATGTTTGCTTTGTGATCTGTCTTGTGATTGGCTGGATCATCGCCGAAACGACAAATTAACAAAAACACCTGGAACAGATCTTTTGACTTTAAATGAAGACTTCTGAAAGATCTGTGGTTTAGAAATACTATATTGAAACATTTTATTTCTTAGAATGTCTGTTTACGAAGTCGTGTCTCGGTCGGCCAAACTTTTGTAGCATTTATGGCAAATTTTTTAAGCTAAAAATGTAACATCATTACTAAAGCTTTCTTTAATAAACCATATAAGGTATACAGTTTATTTAGTTAAGTTGAAAACCAAATTCGTAGTTTCAAAATGACTGATTTGCGATATACCAACTATACTTTAGTTATTGATATATATGATGTTAAACGGCTTACGATGTATGACTATGGATATAAAAGAAAGAAACGAAAAGCTGATTTGAATAGAATCGCCATGAAAATAAAATAAAAATAACTGTTTTTATCTAAATTAGCGAATAAGCTAAATAAACAAACGCTGATAATATTGAATTTTGTGCTCAAAAGGACAACTTAAGGGTTTGATAAAATAGATGGGGAAAAAACACTTTATGACCTTAGCTAATGACTAAATCAGTACTCGCCTCCCGGTCGGAATGGGAGCCGGCAGTTAGAAGTGACTGACACAGACGTTCGTGCGGCGACAGAAATAATAAGAGAAATGGGAAATCCGGACAATAGGACGTTTTTGAGTTTGACGAGATTTTTTAGTGACACTTAAATATACAGTTGTTTTATGTGACTATAGTTTTCATCGTTTAAGGTTCGAAGAATCAGTATTATTCGTCTTTTCTTTGCTCTTATAAATGCTTTTTGTAAGAGAAAGAAAGAAAGAAAGAAAAAAAGATGAATTCCCCCTTTTTGTTGCAAAACTGTTAACAAAAGTTTACTTTTTCAGTCTACTCCTGCAATATTGACAAATTGCAACACTTTTGTTCAAAATATTTGATGATAAACGAAAGAATTACGTAACGTAAACATCATTTAGACAACACAGCTTTCTCTGGTGACTTTTCTCTCTTTTGTTTCGCTTGCTCTTCAGCGATTGGGGGCGTCTACTTCATTGCTATCACAGATTTCACTGCAAAAKAATTTTTTAAATCACATCTGTAAATTATCAATCGATATTTTAAAATTCGCTTTGTTTTAACTCTATTTTTGTGTGGTTGTTCCCCGTAGTTTTTTAAAGAGAATTTCTATCCTTCTCAATCTTCCATGTCTCTACTAACATATATATAGTGTAAAATGTTTTATGCTCATCGCAATCACTCACGATCACTAGGCATTTTACAGTCGATCCGAAGTCACGGAATGTGCAGCCTAAAAGCAAACGCAGAAAAAACTAGAGTGTGTAGTAATAACCGAAAATCAATGATAAAACGACAAATTAATGGAGTCAATTGGTAGAGAGAAAAATCACTTTATTTAGCAATTTGTTCGTAATTATCAGTTGTCATGGACGAATAGAAATGGATGGAGATGCATCAAGAGACATTATCGTGGCCTATTGAATAAGGAGTGTCGGCTTAATGAATTAAATCACGAAAATGGGTGATTTGAGTTGTAGGGCGTGTGAGTTTGTGTGTATGGAGGGAGGAGAATCTCAGTTTTTCAAAGGATTAGAATTGTTCAGGAATATTTGGTGGATGGAGATGGATGGACGGACGGACGGACGGACGGACGGATGGATGAGTAAATAAATGAACGAACGAGTAAATGAATAAACGAACGAGTAAATGAATGGATGGACGGGTAAATGAAGAAGTGAATTGATGGATAACAATAAACAAACAAAATGAATAAACGGAAACTAACTATGAAAGCAGAAATGGGCGAAGAATAAGAAAAACATAAGCAGATTTCTATTGTCAGAAATTCGACTGAAAAAAAGTTACTTGCATCCCCGCCTCCTCACCCCTACACATACRAATTCGTCCAGAGCCAAAATTTGAAGGAAAAAAAGAAGAAAAAGAGAAAAAATTATGCGATAAGTCAACAAAATATGCATAGCTTGACTATATACGGCAAAGGTGATAAAGTAGTCTGCCCTTTCGTTATCGCCCCGTATGTATTTTTTGGTAGTTATGACGGATAACCTAATTGAACCGGAAACGACCCTAATCTCCAGGGGACCCGAGTAAACATTTATTCTCTTTCTAACACTTTGGGTTTTATCTCTGGAATCAGAAGTTTAATAAAGAGCCATCACTTACAAGATTATGAACTAGTATTTTATAGAGCTTTTTAGACTATGAACTTATTACAAAAATCACTCAGTTTTAATGTGATTCCGTTACTAATTGCTAAAGAAGTGTGCTTTGATGCATGACACCATCTGTGAACGTTAATCTTGTTCTGGATAATGTAGGAGCTTTTTTCTCCATTACTAGTAACGCGAGTTTTCTTGCTTGAAAAGAAAAATAAGAAAATTTTTTTATTTTCCCAGGTGTGAACCGCAAGAAATTTTCACTGAAATTTCAAAGAATTTTTGAGGTTCTAAAAAAATTCATTTGTTACAAAATCGTTTCCAAAAAGGCCACTTGGCTTGCGTTGCTTGCGCAGAATGCGATTTTGACGTCTATATTATCAATTAATCCTAGTGGATTAATTCTCACTAAGTAATGCTTCTAAAGACGAAGAAAATGCCTCTCGAATGTTTATTCTATTCTTCCTTTTCTTTTCTTTTTTCCCCTCAATCTGGACAATTGTTTGAAACCACTGGCTACGCTCTGTGCCTTCGTAGAATGATAGCAGAACAAGGATTCCATTAACAATATCCTAAAAAAAAATTATATTAAAAACGCATGCAAAGCTTTTGAAACTATYATAAAAGGGCCTCTCACAGCTGGGTCTATTCATAAGACTCTCTTGACTAATTCCTTAATGAGGATCCATAACAGAAGCTATAGAAAATACCTTTATGGTCTATCTTTTTTTGTTCATTTGAAAAGGATTTTATGAAAGGTAAAAAACTGACAATGAGAGGAATAATGAAAAGGTGGAATAAAACTTGAGTTAAAAGGAAGGAAGGCAGGAAAAACTAGAGACGTTGAGTTTGCAGGTATTCATGAGGGCATGACGGACAAAGAAAAATGGAATAAACAGAACGGAATGAAAAACGTAAAAAACGCCAAAATATCAAGAGCGAACAAGAACACACAATGGAAAAAGAAAAAGAAAAAAAAAACGGAAAAGAAAAAATACCAAAAGAATAAATATTGATATGAAATGCAAATACTAAAGGAAAATTTTTTAAAAAAATAAGCAACTGAAAAAAGAAAAGAAATTACAAAAAAACAACTAGAAAATTAGAATAAAAAATTGATAAAATTTGATAATTTCTTTTTCTGTTAAAAAAAAACCAGCTTGATTTTTCTCAGTCGTTTTCATTAAATGGAAGCAATCATGACATCAAATGAGTTTAGATCATTTTTTAAAACGATTACTTTGGCTATCTCTGATGTTATAATGTTTACATGCAGTGTAGAGTTCGCCAGACGATCAATCGGCGGTTCCTGTAGGCTGGACGGGCCATCTGTCTTTACTACATGAACGAATTTCGCTTATTTTCCCCACACCGAATTCAATTCTTTAAATCTTTTCTAAAATCCTCGTTGCTAATATCCTATATTCTTTTATTCGTATTTTTATATTTATTTGTATGTCTTTCATTCTAATATTATTAACTTTGCTTTCGTTTTCTGCAATATAAATCCTCATAGGAGCCTTTTGCAAATTGCTTTGAGATAATTTTTTTCTTCTGATTAACGCTCTTATCAGAGAGCTATTATCGTATTCCTTTTTGTGGTCTTGAACGTACAAAAACGGGTAAGTAAATTCGTTTTTCTTTTTCTTCTTTATTTCAATCTCAGAATAAAACCTTCAGTTCTTAATACATTTATAATCAGCTTTTCCAGCGTTATTGTAATTGACAGTAACAACATGCGGACATCTGGACTGCCGGGCCAACAGTTAGAAAAGTAATTAGAAATGGAAAAAACTAAARTAATGAATTCGGATCAAGATATTCAAGCTGTCTAAAGCAGAAAAAACAATATGACAAAAGCGAGCTGTACTGCATATCTTTATTCACTAAGGGCCCAGCTGGGACTTTAATATATGTCCCTCACTTGAGTATTATTTATTATTTGCCACTCCGGTCCACACTTTAAGATATTGAACGACCACAATTAAAACAAATGGAAATGCCAAGTTGCTCTTTATGGTGGGGAATAAGTGTTTTAATTTGTCACAAATGCAGGCTTGGAATAGTTTTTAAGTCAGGTAATACAACCCTCGGGGTGTTATCGAAAGATTGCTTTTCAACTTTGGAGAGATGCATTTTACTAAGTAGGGTAGTTTTTTATCTCTATTTCCAGATGAATTATTGAATAAATATCTTAGTGGAAATTCATGAATTTTTATCGAGGATACTACAAACGCATTGCTCGTTCAAAGACTCCTAAAATGGCTCCAGCCTCGATTTTTTCCCCCCGAATTAATACAACAAACATGCCCAATGCTTAGCATTCAACAAAAACGTATTTCAAAACAACATCTTCCATCTATTGTTCTATTCCTTAGGTCTGTCAGTCATGAACAAAGAGAGTTCCAAACAGCTGTGGAGACTGCTTCCATTCATTTCATTCGCTCTAATTGTTTGAAGGCCTGTTCATTTGAATGATTACGGCACACACTGTGCCTTGATACTATCTCACTGTAGTCATCTTATTCAAATGTCTCCCAGTAGCTAAATTATTCAGGGGAAAGATGACTGACTGATGTCAAAGTGAAGTTATTTATGTGTGGTAGATAGTCTCTAAATGGGAGTTGCATTTGCTGTGCTCTTTCAATTCATCTCTTCATAATACGAAACAAGATAGGAAAATGAAAACACTTTAGACCTACAGCTGGCCCTTCCATTTGGCTGTTTTGACAGAAACTAAAGGTGCTTGGACCTCAAAAAATAACAACATCACTAGAGATACAGTAGATTAAATAACTAGAGGGAACTCTTACTTGGCCCAAAAATAACAATCAAAGATCGAAATGCTGGAGTCTATCAAAGGAAAGCAGTCAGAAGAAAATGCAAGATACATTTCAACATTTTACATTCCATTTGTCATGAGAGAACAAGCAGGTATAGATTTTTAAACCGATTTATATTATTGGTATTTTAATTTTTACTTTTTTTAAAATGTGGCTTAATGTTCCAATGTTTTAAATTTTTCTTCACGGTTTTTAAGAGATTTACAACGGGTATAAGATAAACTGTCTTGTCTCTACATAGCAAAAAAGATTATCTTACTACAAGGTTTTTGCAAATCATTTTCATCCAGCCAGCCAGCAGATATGACTTTTTTTTTTTCCATTTTCCCAGATATTTGTAGAGAAATATTTTTTTAATTTAAAAAAAAATCTAACAAAGTTTTTTTTGGCCTTGCTACACTTTTTTCTTTTATCTTTTGATATTCTAGTACTTGGTAGTAAGTTCAATATTTGTGCAAGAGCAAATATTTTTAGGACAAGATAACTTTTTCACGTGTAAATATGGGCTACAGTTATATTCTAGATATGAGGCTAACAGATGTGGTGAAAAAATGTCGTTGTTGCATGGATGAATGGATTTCCTCTTTTTTTCGCTTCTTATATATCCCACATGCTTAATATTTTATACTTTCACATAGTTTAAGGGCATGTTTTGCAATAGTATTGATATTTATTGTATTTGAATTCCTTATCTAATGTATAGGATATATTCACTCTCTACTCAATATACTCTCGCTACTCGATACCAAGGAAATAAACTTCTGTAACCAAATAATCAATGCACAAGAAGAAAAACACACCAGCCTCATTTTTTAGGAGTTAAARAAGTCAAAACATGGCAACCAGAAAATTAATGAAAATGTTAGTCTGTTGCTATATATCTGAGAAATGGTTAAGACAGTTTTTGGCTAGGAACTATTAATATGAGAGACYACTAAGCCTGTTATTATGTCATTTGATAGGTATATGGATGACAGAGAAAGAGGCTGTTATTCCTCTATCAGCTCGCTGTCACGCCAAAAGGAAACACTTCTATACCCTAAGTGGATTACAATTTGTCAAATTGAAGTATTATTTCAAAATTCTATTTGAAACAATTCTTTTCTGTAAAGTGAAAWTTGAAAGGTCAATAATATCTCCTGCAACAAAATAGAATAAAATAAAAACAGATGGGATAAGGATGTTTAGAATTATATTTTTTTCTTGCTAGATTTGAAAGTGCAGCTGTTTTGAATAATTTTACACAAATCTATAGAACTTAAAAGATAACTAAATACTGTATTGTTTGCTAAAAAACAAAAAGATGAGAATATGGATGTCTAGAAATGTTAAAACATTTGATAAAATAATTCTTAAACACACTTAGTTTGTTATTACAGAAAATTTTAYAGCATGAAATGTTTAAATGGTTATCATAAGACTATTGTACAGCCTTGGATTTTCATTTTATCTTACACAGCCTTTGAACCGTATTTTAATAGGYTATGTTTTAGATATAATTTAGAAATAACAGTACAGTAGTTACTTAATTTTCGTTTTTATCCTTAATTTCTTACGTACCACAATATATTATAGTATTGGATTTTTATACTTTGTTCTTAAATTATATTTTGTAACCTTCGATATGTCGTTTACCAATATTATTGAATGAAGACTATTACTTACTGGTATTATTTATTATTGTTATCATTATTATTATTATTATTAATGGTTATTTGCAAATTTACACCCAATTAATTCTGCAAAATAATAATTATTGCCAAAAGATCATATAGTCATTATTTTCCTGGGCACGAAATTAATGCTTGCAAACTCGCAAAATGCCGGTGAAATTTAGTATCTAGTGAGTGACAAAAAATTTAACTAGCTAAGTTTTGCGAGTATGACCACGGTCCAGTAATTGAAGGACTGAAAAGTTTAGAACCCGCATCAAGTAACTTTTGTTATTTGCAGCGTCCGATTGCTAGTGAATTTGAAATATTTGCTAATGAGAACAAAACTTACTAGCAAGGTTTTGCTAAATCGATAGTGTGAGGTTGTACCAATGCCTTGAAAGTAATTAATATGAGTCTTCAGCTCAATGTGCATATCGAGTATTAATAAATAGTTATCTATCTATCTATGTCTATACAAATACATGCTAGTTTACAAGTATATTTTAATATTTTGTATATTTTCGGCTGGTGAGTTCTTTAGAGAGTCCTTTCTAATACAGCTGCTTCCTTCCTTCATATTTTCTATTCAATTGATCGTATATTGACACAGTGGCCTTAAAGCCTCTATAAGCTGACAGACATGTTGGGGAGAAGGATTTCCTGGTGTAGGAAGAGCAATATGAAAATGTTAATGTAGTGTGAGACAAGTGACATATAATTAAGAGTTCAATGTGATGTCATGTACTGACATATAACATTATTTTCAAAGCTATTATTACAGCCAAACTACAAATGACAGGGGCCATGGAGTGAGTGGGGCAGGGGGGATAAGACACCAAATTGTTCAAGCTTAGCGAAAAGGAGTTTTGTTGGGTGTCAACTGCCACCACATAAAAATGGAAAAAAATTAGACACCTTTTGACTGCCATCCACCAAAAGTCAATTTCTTTGACTTTGATTTCTGCAAAATAAGGATGAAGTTAACATTAAAGTAGATTCTGCAGTTACCATGGCAACTGGACAGAGCATACTTTATGAGTAACTAGTTATATGTGACTGTTATGTGTAATGGCTGTTTATTTATACCCAGAGTAATCCCATTAGTTATGACATACAGTAACGTAACAAGTAACCACTGTCTGCTGTAAAGTAAGATTTTAAAAAAATAAGTAAAAATTAATGAAATATTACAATTATAGAAAGTTGATGTGTACGCTGATCYGAGTTGAATGAATATAAAGTAACTCAAAACTCTATAAGGGGGCCACTCAAACAAGCCGACAGTCATGTGACTGAACACTCCTTGCAACAAAGGCCTGGAAGTCAGGACAGGCTGGGTCGAATTAATTATCCTAAATTCATTCAAAATACACCAATGTATTCAAMACAATGCCGTACTGTTCTTTCATGTTTGTGTGACCCAGAGTTTTTTTWAATGATATAGGAAAGGACAGAATTTGTGAAGCTGGCTCAATAAACCACCATCAAAAACCTGCTGATGGCAACGACACATCGACTAAAAACTGGTACATTGAATATCATCCTACAGCACCACAAGCTATACCCAGCAAAGGTTGTACAACYACTGGTAACCATGGAAATGCTAGGCCATGCTACCTTTGTCACCATGGAAACATGATACCGTCTCATAACGGATGCATCAAATATACACCCATTCAAGTGCCTGCGAGGTATAGCAGTATGTGTTATTGTATGCTTTGCCRGCAAAGATCAGCCCAGATGGCATGTAATTGTCATAGTTGTTTGAGCTTAAGGTTTGAACAAACTGCTGCCTCGTTACTGGGGCCAACTGAAAAGAACATTACTATGAATCCCAGAATATGTTGCGGAGGGATGGGTTGTGAAAGAACTGAACATGTGAAATATGAATTTTGCCAATGTGCTCAATGTATGGACAGAATATCGAGAGAGCCGAGATATCATCATAACAATGTACAATTAATGCATAGACAAGAAAGGGCAAAAATCCATGTAATACAAGATAACACCAAGGATCAAAACAATAATGAGAGCAAAAATGAAGAGGAAAATGCATCTGTTAATAAAACCAGCAATGCAGACATCGTTAATGGCCACCAAAGTCCCATTGCAGAAGTAAAGACTGATGAAAATCAAAAGCATCACAGCTTGTCGACAGCATCTTCAAACTTAAGAAAACGACAACATAAAGAATCAGAGAAAACTGTTGTTAATTCAAAAGTTATAAAAACAGAAAAACCAGRGATAGAAGAAACAGAAACTTCATGTGATAACAGCAGTTTGGCAGAAAATGTTAAAGATGAAGAAATGGAAGAGGAAGAGATCAACAGTTCACCAGAAAAACAAGAGGAAGATATGGAATATGTTGGCAAAGGTAAGGAAGACAGAACAGAAGACCATGAAGACAAAGTCTGTGTAATCAAATCTGTCATAAATTCCTGTCATAAAAATGGTTTTGATTTAGAGGATAAAAAGGAAATGCCTGAAGACATTAGCTTAGATAAGGGCCATGGTCGAGGTCGGAGACCTTACAACACACGGCATATGTCAACCAAATCCCATTCYTATGAAGCAGACTTTGAGGTACCAGCTCCATCAGAGTGGAAACAAGATAAACAAATGTACAGTGAGATAACAAAGAGTAGACAACGATCAAAACTCAATAGACTGTTAGCCAATGAACATGAGAGACGGAGGGTAGCACAGCTGAATAATGCATACCAAAACCTGCGGCAATTAATACCAGGATATCAGTGTGATACAAAACTACCAAAGATTAAGATACTAAGATATGCTATTAATTATATCGCCCATCTTGATAACATATTAGAGGTCGACAGTGATAAATAGAGTTTGTAAAACAGATGATGCAGTGTGATTGYTATTACTAAAATCAACTACCAGGTTATTATTTTCTTATATTTCTTATGATTAGTTTCTGCATGAAATATCGAGCCCTGTGCTAAAAATCTTCATTTTTTTCCTATCACTGTAACTTCTAGATACAGTACTACAGTAATTTGGTTCTGCAAATTCCAAGACTAAAAGAAGATTTGTTGCATTCAAAATGTTAAAAATAATATATATAATTCAAAAAGTATTTAAGATCAATGTTGGACATGTTTAAATTTATTATTATATATATGATTTATCATTTTTTYGTCTGTAAATGCAGTCTGTTTGATACTGGGTTTTTTCCTTTTAAAATCGTTATTTTTATACAGTTTCACAGATGTTCATAACAAGATGTTTATAATATTCCATGGTACATTTAATATTATAATTCATTTGAGTTAAAGAGATTGCTTTGGTTGATTATCATATGGAGATTTTTACATTACTTTCACAGGTCCCAAAAATACTTCTGAAGTTACAAACTTTATCTCCAAATTTGAAACTAAAAACATTACTTTACATAACAAAGTAAGATTAGAGTGGCAAGAGGCATAGCAGTACAGCTGAATATCTTCACTGATTATTGTTTTGTAAGCTAGTTATTTCTGAATTTGTGTTTTATTAAAGTTCAAGTTTATCAAGTTTTCTTTTGAAATAATTATGATTAGAAGTTGGAGATGAATATTGGAACTTCAAAACAAAACCTTTAAACCAAATGGTCAAAACTTGTTCAATGCACTATATACATGTAGTAGATATATCTAGTTTATTTACATTGTACTGCATTCTAAACAACTACATATTGAATAATTCTGAGCACTCTAAAAGTATGCATAACTAACTTTCATTCAAGCTGAGGACATATTTCTTGTTTTGAAGGATGTTATTATAGTTGTAAACAGTCATTCTCTATAAGCCGCYCCGAGGTTGAGGGAAAACCTTGGTACTGCAGTGCCCTGTGGAATGGTATTATGAGACATGACTCCAAAACAGTTGGTTGTCCCCAAAACAGTACCAAAATGCACTGCAATATCAAKTGTTTTCCTCAACCAAGGAATGGCTAAATGGCATTTGGAACCATAACATTTGCTATTGCAACAAAAAAGGTTTATTGAAMATGTTGAAATGACACAGTAATTGGAAAACAAAGTTTTCAAGTGCAAGTGCCAATGAAATATCATCAAGTTGAATATTGAATATCATGGTGATACCTTGATTGATGTCCACACCTACTGCAGTACATGTACTTTGTCATGGAAAAGATTCTGTACATGCTATTGGGAATCACTTTCTTATGGTTGTCAAGGTTTTGCAATAGTATTGCATTGTATTTATCCATTTAGTTTTGCTTAAATGACTTCAAAAACAACACAAAAACATTTTGATCAGGCTCTATTATTACTGCTATAAGTTGTTGTTGACTTTGAAACAAAAATGTATTCTTGTTATTGCAACAAGTGCAAGAAAAATAAAGTTTATAGAAAATATTTGGTGAATKACAGTTCAAGGTCCTGAAATATACAGTTTATGATTTTTGGTATTAAATAAACACAAGTGCATACTAGACTTTTGTAGTGGGTTGCTATCAATAGACATTATTTCCGGTCTCGTGTCAGTAGATTTAAGATAATTGGATTTCCTATAGCTCTCTTGACTCCAATAGCCATAACAACAATTTAATTGCCTATATGKGTCCAGGCTCCAAAATCCACACCTTTAATCATAGAGTAGACTTGACTACAGTGGTATTGAACATGTGCAATTGTATGAAAACTATTAATAGTATGTAATCATAACTGAGCTTGGACAACGCTGATTACATAATCTCTTGACACTGCTTATATACAACTCATTAATTTATAGACCCAGGCCTCTCTCTCACATAGGAATATATTCCTCCATTCCAATTCGCAAGCTCCTTGTTCATTACAAGAGAAATCTAATTAACATTCCACAGAGTGACTCTTCTTTCAATGGATTCCAATTGGAATTTAGAAGTTAATTTTTATGGAGAGAGGAAAAACAAGAGAGCCCACCTGTGCTTCCCTAGAATTCTTACTAGCTGAATGACAAGTAATAAAGYGACACATATATATGGATGATTCAGCAATGAAGCACAGTGTGTGCACTTCACTGAAGGCTGGTTTACATGTATGTGATTTCAACGTTCTTGTTAATATCAAGCAATAATGGAATAAACGTTTTTAGCTTGTTTTAGCTTAACAATCAAGCTACAGAACATGTAATACTGTATTTACRGTCAAACCCTGCTTAATGGACACCCAATTACAGTGACACTACTCAAAACAGGGCCACCTACATAGCAAGAACCAATCAAATTGTAGAATAAATTCTCATGGAAATAAAATGATATGTTGAAAGGCTATTGTTTTCTGCTGGTTTATTGATTGGCTCCACTACCCAAAGTTGGAATATACATTGTTTTCATTTAATACAATTTGATTGGTTCAGGCTCTCCATGTCTAGGTGGCCCCGGTTATAGCATCCCGACTGTAAACACACACATTTCATCAAGGTACCATATACTAAAATGTTATCCATATTAACTGATTGGCTTCAGTACCCATAGTTGGAATGTATTGTCTTTATTCTACAATTTGATTGGTTCTCGCTGTCTATACAGTAGGTTGTTCCAGTTATAGTAGTCGCACATTAATACAGATACTTTCTTTACTTGAGTGTCCGTATTAACTTGCTTTTACTGCATTAATAATTACCGTTGTGACTATGAACCACTCTTTGGCTCTTCAGGATGGTTCTTTTTTCCATCCAAGATACGACCATCACTTGGTACAAGGTTTGGTATACCGTTTGATATTGRGTATGCTATTCCCAGGTCATCACATACTAGCTCATTTGATGTTGGATCATACCTAGCAACAGAAAGATAAAAGTCAYATTTGTACAGAAATCTACAGAGACTTTTTGGTGCCATGGAACTCCACTTTTTTCTGACAACCATTTGACCGAGTTCAATTTTTCAGACTTCTGGCCCCGTTCACTTTTTCAGTCTAGCCGCGTTCAAACGGTTGCCAGAAAAAAGTGGAGTACCATGGCACTAAAAAGGCTCCGTAGAAATCGGTCTCTAATATCCAGAGCGTTAAAATATTTAAGGAGACAGACAGCAAGTCCTCACCTCAGAGGCTTCTTGGACAAGGGACACACCAAAATATCCAAAAGTTTGATGTCAAAACTATSWCCTGGGGATCCATTAYTMTTATTTTCACTGGTTATCCTCCTTAAAGAACAAACGCGWGGTCCTTGAAGCCTTAAAACTTGAYTCTTGAGACTTCTCAATATGACACATCTTCCCGCCATCGCCGCCATCTTGGACTCACGTATCACCACAGGCAACCCAAACAATTTTTTCGAAAGATTGAAAAATATATTTATAATTTTAAAGAAATTTTTATCAAGTCATGAAACAATTGTATTAGATGATTTAAGATTTGTTTTCAATTATTTTGGACTGTCAAAACTCGAGCAAATATAATAGAAAAATCATTTATTAAAATGTTTAAAGCCATATTATACATATGTCTAGGCCCAGTTCCCCGTCCTCGTCTGTCTTGCAAACACGTTCAAAGATGGCGGACCTTGGAAGAGTTTCTTGTGGTCGTGATTTAACTTGCGTTCCTGACTTGGTAGTTGCATTAAATTCAGCTTCTCAAAGCGGGTAAGAAAGTTAAATTAATATGTTAATGATTTAGCACAGCTGAAGTTCGATTTGAAGCTGTTAGGTACTTTTTAAAAAAAAGGTTTTTTTCCTTGACCACTGTCAAGTCATGCCGCACGTGGACGCTCGCGTCTATTAAAACTAGTTAGCTACTGTATCAATAGAAACAGTTTTTATTATCAGGAAGAAAAAAAAAAACACATAAAAAATTTGATAATATGAAAGATATAAATACAGTTGATAAATAAGATATAAATACTTCTTCATGGAAATTGCAGATTTTTAAGCGAGAAATGTGTTTTTTTTAATGGATTGGGATTATTCCAATACCTAAGTAAAAGATGGGAGCTGGGGGTGCTGTAGTGGTATAAAAGAAGAAGGAAGACTTACTGGAAAGTACTTCAATTTCCCCCATTTTATTTCATGTTCTGGACCCATGTTTTTGCACATA